GTTTTAACAGAATATAACTAGTCTAATGAAGCCACATTATTCTATTTAGAAAGAACTACACTGGGTGGCCATTCCTCTTGAAACCTACTTCAGATTGCTTTTATAACCAATAAAGTTTTGCTCTAAATGGTGTCAGACCCAAATATCTGAAGAAGTACCCTTCCTTAGCTTTCCTTAGCTATGACAGCACGCTTGGGTTTATAACTATTATAGGTTTTTCTGCCTCTCTGTAACTTCTATGAAGGACATTATTGTAATGCATATGCATCCTTAGTAGTTTTTGATTACAGACTTATTCCCATTGATCTTCAAATCAATGGGATTTAAGTTAACTGTAATCGATTGTATGAAGGATAAATTAGAAATAATTAAATATGTGATCAACTATTAAATGGTCAGATTTATTTTTCAAGGAAGATAACTCATAAATAACATCTAACAAAGGCACTTCTGGCCATAGCAGCTACCTTGGTCTCCGGGAACAACACTTCTAAATTATAAATCTTATCCCTTTGAGCCATGCCCAAGGTGGACTGTATATCTATATAAATAAAAATGTAATGTTCGTTTGTGGGATTAACATAACTCAAAAACCAATGGATGAATTGACATAAAATTTGGCCACAATACACCAACTATACCAATGTATGTCCTTCACTCAAAAAAACAAAACAAAACAAAAATAACCGGAGAGAACTTAAAACCCCCACAAAGCTAAATGACTATACAGAGCATGCGTTAAAACAACACCCCCTGACCCTCCCTCCTGCACGAGGAAAAAAAAAAACCAACAGCTTAGAGATAGGTGGCTTGAGAGAGGGAGGGAAAGGTGGCCCATATATCTCTCTCGCTACCCCCTGCCTCTCTCTTCCCAAAGGATTGAGAGAGAGGGAGGGAGGGAGGGAAAGAGAGAAGAGGACACCCTCTTCAAGATCCACCCCTCCCCTTTCTTTCCTTTCGCTTTCCTCTTGGCTGCCTGGGACTCGGGGCGCTTGGGTCGGCAGCATGGAGGTGCCTCCACTAGGCTGCCGGGAACTCACACGGGAAGGATTGGGTGTGTGCGTGTATGTGTAGGCACACACACACACCTATATGCACACATATCTCTACATATTTCAACTCCCAGAAAGCTCACCCATAATGAGTTATGGGAAGGAATTCTGGGAAATGAAGTCCAGTATTAAAAGAAAGGACAAAAACAGGAAATGCATGCTCTGTGAATTAGGAAAGGCTGTCCAGGAAGACACAATCAAAACACTCCCAAAAGATGGCCATCCATTTTTACTTTATAGCAACCCTGGGCTATAATATCTACAATAATGTCTATATAAATATAATAATATTATCTATAAGTCTATAATATATATATATATATATGATATCTATATGTCTATAACAATAATATCTACAAGTCTATAACAATATCTGTATGTCTGTAATAATAATGTCTATATGCCCATAATAATATCTGTAGGTCTATAATAACATCCATATGTCTATAATAATATCTATCTGTCAATAATATCTATACATCTATAATAATAATACCTGTCTGCCTATATCCGTGACTATAATAATAATAATAATAATAATAATAATAATAATAATAATATCTATATAGGTATAATATAGGTATATGTATACATCTATAATAATAGCTATATAATATCTATAATAATAGTAATATCTATATGCCTATAATAATATCTATCGGTCTGTAATAATATCCATACATCTGTTGCCCATTTTTGCTCGAAAGATATTTAGCCCTGTGCTCCTTCTATTTTTTATTAGGTTTCTACTAATTTATGCAATGCTTTTGATATGAAATAAATAAATAAATAACATCTATAATAATAATACCTATATGCCTCATAACGCGTGACTGGGTACAGCTAGTCAGACTATAAAACTGTATTTCAACTTTTTTTCTAGACTGGATTAAACCACATAGGTTTTTGATGTATTTGCATACCGCCTCTGCAGCCCTTAGGGAAGAGCAATGTCAGTACATGCCACGCAGAAGGTGCAAGAGGTGGTAAACTCATGTATTTTTTCACCAGGTGCACTTATTTAATTGTGGCTTGGGAAAATATATTGAAACTATGGTTGACCAAAATGCTTACACCCTAACCCTTAAAGCAAGATGAGGGAGCTACGCACACTGATTCAGACAAATTTCTACAGTAAAAGAGGGTGCTGCTCAGCTGTACACATAAATAAAAATGTTATGGATCTGTTTCATTTCTTTTGATGGCAACACACGCAAGGCAACTTCTAAATATGAATAGCAAGTAGATGCTGAAGAAGCATAGCAGATATTGTCATGATCTGTGGGGGAGGGGAAAGCTGATGGATATGTCAAAAATGTAAAAAAATGTTATTCTCTTCCCATAACATATACTGTTGAAGGTGTTTCTTCAACAGTATATTTTCCACTGGACAATGCCTAGTCATTTGAAAAATCATGTTATCATCTTTTTTCTCTTTAAAAATGAGCCTATATTGAAGCCAGCAAAGTTCCTCATTACTCAATTGTCCAATGCTTTCACTCTATCTGTAAGGTGTTTTGCGGGATTTTTTTTTTAAAGTCAGGGCATAAATGTGTAAACAAAGATTTTTTTTTTGGTCGTGTTAGGAGCGACTTGAGAAACTGCAAGTCGCTTCTGCTGTGAGAGAATTGGCCGTCTGCAAGGACGTTGCCCAGGGGACGCCCGGATGATTTGATGTTTTTATCATCCTTGTGGGAGGCTTCTCTCATGTCCCTGTATGAGGAGCTGGAGTTGATAGAGGGAGCTCATTCGCCTCTCCCCGGATTCGAACCTGCGACCTGTCGGTCTTCAGTCCTGCCGGCACAGGGGTTTAACCCACTGCGCCACCGGGGGCTCCTAACAAAGATTATTAATATTATTATATTTATACTCGACTTTGTATTTCCCAGAGGGGACTCAATATATTCATAAGCAAGCATCCTGTAAAACCAGGAACGGGGAACCTTACATTGAGATGCCAGACCTTCTCGTTCCAATTTTAGTATATGTGCTGCCGAAGCGAGCACGCCAGACCTTCTCCAGGAGACCTTTATGCAGTGGTTTCCTAGATTTTGCAATGGGTTGCCATTTCCAAATGTACTGGCTCTCTCACACAAATGAGCCAAGAGTGCATTGTGTGCACAGTAGTGATGCATTCAGACACCATGTGAAATAAATGTCTCCCTACCTTGTTTCCATCCTATGGGATCCTTGTGTCTGTAGTCTAGTTTAGCCTGAAGCTAAACTCTTCGCTGGACAGCTCCATTTAACTCATCTGAACTACAAACCTAGATCTCTCTATTGCAGCAAATTCCAGAGAAATCCCAGTCATGGCAGTCAAAGTGGACTCAAACAGAGTTAGTGCTTCCCTAAGATGCCTCTAACAAGGAGATGCTCATGATAATGTTTTTATGGATTTGTACAATTTTTATATTTTACACAAATGTTTTTCACAATATTTGATGATTGTTTTATTTGTTGAGACATCAAATGTTGCCAACTGTGAACCGCCCTGAGTCGCCTTTGGGCTGAGAAGGGCGGTATACAAATATGGTAAATAAATAAATAAATCCAAACAGTGGCTTTAATGCAGTTTGACACCACAAGTGCCATGGCTCAATGAGATGGAATTGTGGAAGCTGTAGTTTTGTTGTTGTTCATTCGTTCAGTTGTTTCCGACTCTTCGTGACTTCATGGACCAGTCCACGCCAGAGCTCCCTGTTGGTCTCCACCACCCCCAGTTCCTTCAAGGTCAATCCAGTCACTTCAAGGACACCATCCATCCATCTTGCCCTTGGTCGGCCCCTCTTCCTTTTTCCTTCCATTTTCCCCAGCATCATACTCTTCAGACTCATTATACCACAGTTCAAAAGTATCTATCTTCCTTCGCTCAGCCTTCCCTATGGTCCAGCTCTCACATCCGTAGGTGACTCTGGGGAATACCATTGCTTTAACTATGCAGATCTTTGTTGCCAGTGTGATGTCTCTACTCTTCACTATTTTATCGAGATTGGATTTTGCTCTCCTCCCAAGCACAGCTATAGTATACCCATCACCGAAGACTGGAGACCTTGGTACACTCCTTCTATCCCTGGGGCTTTGTCCTCTTCCACCGAGCACGCAGCTTTGGGAGGGACGCACATGGAGCGGTGAGGAAGGAAGGGGACACCCGCCTAGCCAGCCAGATCAGCCGAATCAACCCTGGCGATCAATGGGGTGACAGATGTCGCAGCAGATCGCCCTCACATCCTCTTGCCCTGACACGACAAAAAACAAAGCAAAACACTATTTTATCTCACCAAAAGACATCTCCAATGATTCTGCAGCACTGAGTCATGGGAGTTTAAAGTGGTATCAAGCTGCATCATTTCTACAGTGTAGATGCATGCCCAATAACTTATTAGTGACAGAAATAACAGAAAAAGACACCTGCAACTCAGTCCTACACTTGAAGTTTACTGAAGCTTCAAAATCAAGAATTAGAACTACAACTATAAGATAAACAAAAAATATAGATATAGAGAAATACAAATATGTTCACCGTCTCAAGCTTCGTTTTAAAATCAGAAGCAAGGAAGGGACAACTGGAGGTAAACTACTAAGCCAGCGCTTTCGATCAGAGTAGCAAGCCACTGCGCATGCGCGCGCGCCTCTTGGCCGGCCCAGGCACCCAAAGGCAGCCCGTGCGTCAAAGCCCCGAGCGCCGCTCTCATTGGCCGGGCCGAGCAGAAGCGAGGCGCACCAAAACATCGCGGGGAGGGACCAATCGCCAAGCCTGGCGCCGAGTTCTCGAGAGAGTTCGCCTGAAGCTGGCACCGCCATGTTGGAGTAGGGAGAGGCCACATCCCGCTGATGTCGTCCTTTAGGGTTTTCCAATATTTATTATTTTTTCAGAGAAGGACGCTAAGGCCCCGCTGAGGCCCTAAGGACAGGGCGGCGCGGCCTATCCTCCTGTTTGCCCATTCAGGAGCAAAGCGGTGGCGGCCGAGGATCCGTGGCGAACGGCAACGAGAGGATGGTGCAGTCCTGCTCTGCCTACCGTTGCCGGAATCGATACGACAAAGAGAAGCCTATCTCTTTCCACAAGTGAGTGGGAGGGGCGGGGGCAGGAGAGCTCGCAAGGAGAGAGAGAGAGCGAGCTGTCCTGCCTTGAAAGGGAGGCGGAGCCAGAGCGCATGCGTGGACGAGTGCGCGCGCACGCTCCTTAGAGAGGGAGGGGGTGCCTCAAAAAAAGGTCTCTAAGCAAAGAAAGCAAGGCAGGGGTAGTCGCGCGCAAACGCACGCGCACCCCCTTTTTTTCTGTCCCTCGCGCGCGCAGGCTTTCAACAGAACCGTTGGGACTGAGGCTTGACTTTGAGGCCTTGGAACGCGCGCCCGTTTCAACCGTCGCCTGCTGACAGTGACGTCGGAGGACTGTCATTTTGTTTTCAAACTGGTCAAACGGAATAGTCTCTTGGTCATGTTGCTTCAAAGCCCTATTTGTTGTAGATATTTGGCCAACTGTCAGAAATCCATGCAGGTGAAGTCCAAAACACCTGGAAAAATCAGGCATAATGGCAATCATGGACTCATTCCTTATCAGGATAAGCCCTAAAAAAGGTGAAGGGCAAAATGTGTACATGTCGCATGTGTGATGTATTGTGGGATGTTAGGGGATTTCATGGTGTAAAATGAAGGCACCATCCATGACATTGGTGGACTTGGTAGTCATTCAAGTATTTATTTCGTGTCAAAAGCATATTAGTATAAAACTGATAAAAATAGAAGGAACGCAAGCAGCTAAATTTGTTTTGACCTTACTTACTTACTTACTTAGGCAATCCCTCATAGTCCGAGGATGATGGTCCGCCAAGGTTGGTGGGTCTGTAGGTGACTGTGGAGCCCAATTCTTGACCTGCACCTTCTCCCGCAGTGAGGGCATTGGTGGAAGACTGTCCCGGTTGGGGTTGGCTTGACGCACCTTTCTCTCTTTCACCCTCCATTCGTGCCTCTTCAAATTCTACAGCACTGCTGGTCACAGCTGACCTCCAGCTGGAGTGCTCAAGGGCCAGGGCTTCCCAGTTGTCGTTGTCTATGCCGAAGTTTTTAAGGTTGACTTTTATTTATTTATTTATTTACTGCGCTTATATACCGCAATTCTCAGCCCAAGGGCGACTCATTGCGGTGTACAACATGAAAAAACAAGTGCAAATTACAAAACATAGTGCAAAATAATCTACAATTCATCATTATCAGAAAAACATCTTATCAAAACATCAACATTACTACAAAATTTCTACTACATTCCGAATCGTCTCATCGTCAACCCACAATCCGATATCATTTCCGTTGTTCCATTCCTATGGTCAAATTACCAGTCATTGCACTTCTTGGTCAAATGCCTTCTTAAATAGCCAGGTCTTTAACTTCCTGCGGAATATCAACAGGGAGGGGGCTAGCCTGATGTCCACGGGAAGGGTGTTCCACAGCCGAGGAGCCACCACCGAGAAGGCCCTATCTCTCGTCCCCGCCAGCCGTCCTATGACGGCGGGATCGAGAGCAGGGCCTCCCCGGAAGATCTCAAAATCTTTGAGCCCATCTTTAAATCTTTTCCTGTCCACCAACATTTTGTTTTCCTTCTTGAGTTCAGAGTAGAGCAACTGCTTTGGGAGACGTGGTCGGGCATCAGACAATGTGGCCAGTCCAGCGGAGTTGATGGCAGAGGACCATGCTTCATGCTGGTGGTCTTTGCTTCTTCGAGCACCCTGACATTTGTCTGCTTGTCTTCCCAAGAGATTTGTAGAATTTTTTGGAAGCAGCGCTGATGGAATCATTCAAGGAGTTACATGTGACGTCTGTAGATAGCCCACGTGTCGCAGGTTTATAGCAGGGCTGGGAGGACAATAGCTTTATAAACAAGCACCTTGGTATCCTTATGGATATTCCGATCCTCAAACACTCTCTGCTTCATTTGGAAAAATGCTGCACTCGCAGAGCTCAGGTGGTGTTGTATTTCAGTGTCAATGTTGACTTTTGTGGAGAGGTGGCTGCCAAGGTAGCGGAAATGGTCAACATTTTCTAATGTTACACCATTAAGCTGTATTTCTGGTATTGGAGAGGGATTGGCTGGTGACTGCTGGAAGAGCACTTTGGTTTTCTTGATGTTCAATGACAGGCCAAGCTGGCATTGTCTGTGTTGTGTTGTTTATTCGTTCAGTCGGTTCTGACTCTTTGTGACCTCCTGGACCAGCCCACGCCAGAACTCCCTGTCAGCCGTTACCACCCTCAGTTCCTTCAGAGTCAAGTCAGACACTTCAAGGATGCCATGCATCCATCTTGCCCTTGGTCCACCCCTCTTCCTTTTTCCTTCCATTTTCCCCAGCATCATTGCTTTCTCTAAGTTTTCCTGTCTTCTCATGATGTGGCTAAAATACTTCATCTTTGCCTCTAATATCCTGCCCTCCAAGGAGCAGTTGGGCTTTATTTCCTGGATTATGGACTTGTTGGATCTTCTCGCTGTCCAAGGCACTCTCAGAACTTTTCTCCAACACCACAGTTCAAAAGCATCTATCTTCCTTCACTCAGTTTTCCCTGTGGTCCAGCTCTCACATCCATAGGTTACTACAGGGAATACCATTGCTTTAACTATGCGGATCTTGGTTGCCAGTGTGATGTCTCTAGTCTTCACTATTTTATCGAGATTGGTCATTGCTCTCCTCCCAAGAAGTAAGTGTCTTCTTATTTCCTGGCTGCAGTCTGTGTCTGCAGTAATCTTTGCACCTAGAAATACAAAGTCTGTCACTGCCTCCATGTTTTCTCCCTCTATTTGCCAGTTGTCAGTCAGTCCAGTTGTCATAATCTTGGGGTTGTTTTAATGTTTAACTGCAACCCAGCTTTTGCACTTTCTTCCTTCACCTTGGTTAGAAAGCTTCTCAGCTCCTCCTCACTTTCGGCCATCAAAGTGGTATCATCTGCATATCTAAGGTTGATAATGTTTCTTCCAGCAATTTTAAACTCAGCCTTGCATTGGTCAAGCCCTGCAAATCTCATGATGTGTTCTGCATACAAGTTGAATAGGTTGGGCGAGAGTATACAACCCTGCTGTACTCCTTTCCCAGTCTTGAACCAGTCTGTTGTTCCATGGTCAGTTCTTACTGTTGCTACTTGGTTATGATACAGATTCCTCAGAAGACACAGACAAGGTGATTTGGTATCCCAATATCAACAATAACTTGCCACAATTTATTGTGATCCACACAATCAAAGGCTTTAGAATAGTCAAGAAAACAGAAATAGATGTTTTTCTGAAACTCCCTGCCTTTCTCCATTATCATGCGGGTATTGGCAATTTGGTCTCTCGTTCCTCTGCCTTTTCTGACCCCAGCTTGTACATCTGGCAACTCTCTCTCCGTGTACTGCTGAAGTCCTCCTTGCAGGATCTTGAGCATTACTTTACTGGCATGTGAAATAAGTGCCACTATACAAAAGTTTGAGCAGTCTTTAGCATTTCCCTTTTTGGTATGGGGATATAAGTTGATTTTTCCAGTCTGATGGCCATTCTTGTGTTTTTCATATTTGCTGGCATATGGCATGCATCACTTGACTAGCATTGTCTGTAGCCTCCAACAATTCTTCATCTGCACATGAGGCAGGGCACAATGGACAAGCATACAGATGTCTGTTCTGCTCCACAAGGTGAAGAATTATTTTAGGTAGTGCCATTTTGCCAGGTTGTCTTTTGATCTGCCCACTCCACTTCTGAGTCTGTTCAGGGACTTCCAAGCTGCCCATTCTTGGTTTGCATTTGAGATTTCCTGGTTTAGCTGCCCAGAGGGATTCTCTTGCTGTTGCTGGGGGAACATTAAGAGGAGTGGTGGTTCTCATGAAGCTTTTCTTTGATTTGAGTCTATCGGGAGGAGGCTGATAGCCATACAGTGAGTGGCTTTCACAGTGTTCAACTTTATTTCTCTCACAATTGGCAGCAACTTTCCATTGCACAGTTTAAGATATCCTATGAGTATTCTACATGTCTCATTTAGAAATGTATTCACCTGCATTGTGTGGGCAGATTTATGCCAGACGGGGCAGGCATACTCAGCATTTGAGTAAAACAAGGCCAGTGCTGATGTTCGTATTAATTTTGTGTCTGCACCCCATGCGCTATTAGTAAGTTTCCGCTGGATATTACTGCGTGCAGCTACTTTGTGCTTGGTGTTTGCACAGTACTTCCTAAATGTTAGTGTTCAAGATATTTAGGATAGGAAATGTGTTCAAGCTCTTGGCCTTACCAGGTAACTTTCAGTTTCCTGTTGGCTTCACAATTACGTAGATAAGTGATTCTCAACCTGTGGGTCCCCAGTTGTTTTGGCATTCAATTCCCAGAAATCCTAGGAGCTGGTAAACCGACTGGGATTTCTGGGAATTGTAGGACAAAACACCTGGGGACCCACAGGTTGAGAATCACTGATGTAGATGGAAAGCATACACTTTTGTTTTGGCAGGGTTAGGCTTCAGGTGGTTATCTTTGTAGTAGCTGGAGGGATCTTTCAGGGCATAAGTAAGTTGGTTTTCAACTGTTTCAAAGTTTTTTGAGTGTGTTTTTAGGCCAAGGTCATGAGCATATATAAAGCTCTTTGTGAGTGATGGTTGTGGCTGATCATTAGTAAAAATGTTAAACAAGGTCTGTGTAAGAGCGCTGCCATGACCATACTTTTACCTCCTCCAAATACTTTTCCTGCCCTGGAACACCACATAAGGGAAGCTGCAGTTTTCTAGGAGGGTCTGGATAGTTTTTGTAAAATTGTTGTCCCGGGTGATATGGTAGACTTTATGCAGCAATTTCCTATGTTGCATTGTGTCATAGACTGCCATAAGGTCCACAAAGACCACAAAGATGCTCAAGGTATGTTTTGATTGCAGGTTTCCTCTCACAAGGCCCGATCTCTGCAAGAAATGGGAAGCTGCAGTGAGAAGAAAAAATTTCAAACCAACAAAGTATAGCAGCATTTGTTCTGAACACTTTACTCCAGATTGCTTCAAAAGGGAATGCAACAACAAGCTTTTAAAAGATAACGCTGTGCCGACAATATTTTGCCACACAGAAGTAAATGTGAAGGTAAGTGAAGTTGATGGCCTTTAAAAGCTGTTATTCACAGATCTGTTTATATATAATCAATAGAGTATTATTTCTAAGCAACAGATACTGTGGTGAGAGGAAAACAGCAGTGTGGAGGTTGAGTTATTTTCCAAACTGAATTGCCTCTTTATAACATTGCCATTTTCTCTCATTAACCAAGCAGTTTTAATTTGAAGTTGCCACCTTCAAATGTAACATAGAACAGAGGCAGCAATTCTAAATGGGTTGAAATATAGTTTACAGCACAGGATATTCATTTACTGGTCTGCCATCCAAGTACGTAACCAGGGCTGACCCTGCTTGACATCCAAGATCAGAGTGGATCTGGTGTCTTTAGGGTATTTAAGCTTGGAACAATGCTCAATGAAAGATAGAGGACCCATATAAAATCCAGATTATCTGCTTTGAACTGGATTATATGTCTGTGTAATCCAGTGGATTATCTGTTTTGATTATGATCTGTTTTGATTATTATATGGCTGTGTAGGCTCATATAATCTAGTGGATTATCTGTTTTGATTATGATCTGGATTATTTGTCAGTTTATTTATTTATTTACTGTATTTGTATACTGTATTATACCGTAAGCGACTCAAGGCAATTAACAGGATAAAATTCAATGCTTACAATATCATAAATACAATTAAAACATAACATATAATAAAAATTAAACAAACCAATAAAATATAAATTCATAGTGTCTCCTTGTTAAAAACGTTGCCCGGTCTCATTGTCTAGTCGTTCCATTTTCCTATGTCATTTACTCTGCATTTGGAAATGCTTGTTCAAAAAGCCATGTCTTGACTTTTTCCGGAATGTTAAAAGGGAGGTGGCCGATCTAATATCTATAGGGAGGGCGTTCCATAGCCGAGGGGCCACCACCGAAAAGGCTTAGATCCTGCTGGTGACTACTCCACTCCTGTTTTAATGTATAGGATGAACAGTTTAAAGGAGATAAGATAGGAAAGCTTCCCTTTCTCTAATCCCATTTTAAAGGGAAACATTGCCATATCTCTGTAGTGAAATCTTGTAAGCGAATGCCGAATCACAGAAATGATGAGGAATTTCTGTATTTTTTTTTTTTGGCTGTCATGCCAGAAACAGCTGCATATTGGCACATGACAACCCTTTAAAAGCATTTTTTACCATCCCCCATTGCCCTTTTATTTGTCTAAGGGCCGTTTCAGACAGGCCCTATATCCCAGGATCTGACCCCAGGTTTTCTGCTTTAAACTGAATTATATGAGTCCGCATTGCCAGATAATCTGGGATAAACAGAAAACTTTGGATCAGATCCTGGGATATAGGGCCTGTTTGGAACACCTGTAGTGATGGGAAGAAGCAGTGCCATGTGGGAGTAGAGCTTGTGAAAGTTACTCTTAAACAGTGAAAAATAAAAGGATACATGTCCTGACTTGATTTGTGGAATTGGAAGAGATGGTCCTTCATGTTTATTTGTTTGCGAATGAAGCCTTGTGAAATGTGCTTGTTAACCAATCTGTTGGCATCATAGTTAGCACCACAATATTCTGCTCTTTTGCCATTTTTTCACCAGGCTGATTTGGGAGACTGTGAGGAACAAGTACAGGCGGAGGTAATATCATATGCAAGTATATACAGGCAGTTCCCAAGTTACAAACATCCAACTTAGAAACGACTCATAGTTAAGAACAGGGGTGAAACAACAGGAAGTGAGGGAAATCTACCCTTAAGAAGGAAAATTCACTCCTGGAAGAGTTATTTTTGGGGGTGGGGGGGTGGGGAGAGGGGTCTCAACTGAATTTTTATCACCAATCCTTGTTTCCACAAGCCACATTTTCCATAATCCAATAATCATGGGGACAGAAAGTGAGGTGAAATCTTCTGAAGAGGGACACAGACAACAAAACAAACACTGCAAACTTATGTGTATATATATATATATATATATGTATGTATGTATGTATGTATGTTGGCTGGAGTTACACTTAAAAATGTTTAATCCCACATGCAAATTCAATTTAAGAACAAAGTTACAGAACCTATCTTGTTCGTAACTTGGGGACTGCCATTATTTCTCTTCAGAAGATTGATTTTAATCTATATAAATGTATTGGAGACAGTTATACTATTTCCTGATGCTTTTTAATAGAAACATTGCAGCACATAAATGTTCCGAATTCTTTTCCTAATCTTAAAGTAAAATGTACTGATTTAATTTAATTTGGGTTTATATATATATATATATACACACACACACACACACACTTAATTGCTTTAATAAATGGGAGTGTAATCCTGACGGGTTAGGGTGGCACATGGCCTTTGAAGTTTTGTGGAGTTTGTTTGTAAAGCCTCATTTGAAATAGTTAGAAAATGTAAGCAGCTGCAATAAATAAATAAATCTTGCATTGAATCCTGCAAGGTTGTCCTTTCAAATCTTTTAAATTCAAGCCCACTGAATTCCATGTTGTTTTAAAAATGTTGAACATTCTTACAATCCCAGGCCTGTCGGAAAAATTAATCTTATGTTAAATGAAGTATTTGACTGAGGATTAGTGGTGTTAATGGGCCATATTTTTCCCATATTAAAATATTGCTTATTTGCTGCTGTTTATACACCTTGTTTTGTAACAAACGGGTGTTTCCTTTTTAAATACATAGCTTTTAAGATATCCCATTTCTGAAGTTCAGGGAAAATGTTTTGAAAATAGTGTTGGAAGTCATACATGTGTATCATGTTTCCCTCATCCCCATTGTTTATGTTCCCTAAATTCATACCTGACTTTCTTTCTTTCACATATTCAACTGTACCAAAGATATAAAATGTTTGAAATTAACTATTAAATAGCTCAACCTTCTCTAATCTTATACCCTCTGAATGTGTTGGACAACAGTTCCCCTCAGCTCTAGTGACTATGTTGGATCAATTATGTTGGGAGTTATAGTTCCACAACTGTTCAGTGTGAAAAAGAGTAGGATTATAATTTTTGTCAGATGGGTTTTGTTGAAGTAGAAAACTGCTATGGTTGTTGATTATTTGTCCTTATCCCTTTTACAAAATAAACAGTGTATTTTCTTGTCTTGCTGTTTTAGTCTGAAGACAGCCAAGAACCAGTTGCCATACAAGCTCCTTCTTCTCCTTCACCTCCACCACCGCCGCAAACTAACCCAAGACTAGTAGACCCAAGCATTGGATTGTTAATGCCCCCGCTCCACACTCCCAATAATATTGCTGTTTTTTGTGACCATAACTATACTGTCGAGGATACAGTTCATCAACGGAAAAGGATTCAGCAACTGGAAGAGCAGGTGGATAAACTGAGGAAGAAGCTTAAAACTGCGCAGCAGCGGTGTAGGCGTCAAGAGAAACAGATTGAAAAACTGCGGGAGCTTGTTCAGTTTCAGAAGGAAAAAGATGCGTTGTCAGGCAAAGGTGGCTATGTGTTTCTTCCTAATGACTTTTTTGAAATTGTAGAAGTACCAGCCTAGGAGGCTAAGGTCTATATTTATGGGGCACTGCCAAATTTAGCCTCGTCAGACTAACTCAAGTTCAGTTTTAAAATGAAATGCTCTTTAAAATGAAATGCTCTTTCTGTGTATAAACTATTTCACCCCAACAGAACAATAATAAAAATACTATATATATTGTTTTGTCATTGTGCTTCTTGACCATTTTTTTTAAATAGTGTTTCAGTTTGTATATTATTATTATTATTATTATTTAAACGTATATGCCGCCACTCCCCTGGATATGAAGAGGATAACTGTGCATGTGACTCATAAATACCTTTCTTTGTATCCAGTGGGGCTTACTGTCATGTAAATGTGAATGTATTTCAGGTCTTAGGTTGCTAACCTGTATGATTTGGAAATAAGCCACACTATAGTGGGGCTTGCTTATGAGTAGAGATGTCTGGGACTGAGCCATTTATTTCAGCTAATGGACCAGAATGCAACACAAGAATGACTGTTCATCCATAGTAATTATATTAATTTATTTCAGTATCTATTTTGCCCTTTGCGATAGTTCACGGTGGGCAACAATGTCTAAGATGTTTTTTTTTCTTTTAATGTTATTTTGATAATGTTGTTGTTGTATATGTTTTGATTTTATTGCTGTATTATGTTATCTGGGCTTGGCCCCATGTAAGCCGCTCCAAGTCCCCATTGGGGAGATGGTGGCGGGGTAGAAATAAAGTTTATTATTATTATTTATTTATTATTAAGATGTGTAAGGTTGAATTTAGAGTGTGGTATCATTGGGAGCTGGTGTGATGTAGAGTACTATGATAAGTGAGCGATTAAATTTGGAGTTCACATTTTTACATTGACCACAGATTTACTTGAATAGCTTCATGCAAGTCACTGTCTCAGACATTTCTTAGGCCTTGCTGCTTGGTTTTGGTGCATGGGTGACACAAACAAACCCCTTTGATTGGTCCACAAAGGCATGATGGAACAAAGGAGAAAAGAAAGTATCACTGGCTGAAGTCAGGGAAGTCAAAATTAGCACCAGTAGTATTGCCCAAGAAATAATGGCATTTCGGTAGTGATGCTACAGCACTAGCATCGATGCTTGATTAGCTCATCTGATCAGAAGGGCTACTGTGTTTGCAACAATTGAAGTTTGGGACAACTGCTTATGAAGGTATGAATGATACTTGCTTGGCCTTGATCAGATATTTGGGATTATAGTCCTTTAATGAGAAGTTGTGAAAGGCACATTAGGGATTTCTGCAGCTCCAAGACTGCCCATTTGAGAGGTAGAACTCCATGTGTAATGGGTGTCCATGTGAAGTGATAGGACTCATCATTTAACATTATAGCCAGATTATCCTGCATTTGGTATTGAAAGTTGGGTAGATTTTAGGTAAGTACCAGTACTGTTGGTAAGTACCGGTATTGATCTATGTCCTTGAATCTCATTGAGTCCCATTTTTCAGCATAATGATTATGCTATTCTGGCATGTAGTTTTGCCAACAGTCTTATATATGCCTTGAACAAGGAAAGGGAACTGGTCAATTTTAGGTGAGCTCTTAGGTGTTATGAATATGCACCTATCACCCTCTGATCATCTCACTAGTGAACTTTTCAATATTTCTCCACAGCCTGTCAACCTCCTTTGAAACTTAACATTCTGGCTTAATTAAATTCATGTTTTCAATTTTTGTGGTGAATAGCTCTTTGCCTTTGAAAAGATTCTCCTGTTTTGAGAGGCATTCAGCTACACTGATAGATTTGGAGATTCTGGTAAGGAAAGAATCAAAACAAACAATTTCATATGTACCTGAATTAGCCAATGAATTAATTCTTGTCCTGTATTCAAATTCTCAATACATTAATGTCAGCTTGTGAGAAAAAGCTTTTCATGAGCCATTTAGGTTCAGATAAAGCCCCCCCCCCCCCAATAGTTTAAAGCTGTGCTGTTCAAAGTATTGGCTCATAGAAACCTGTTCCAATGGGCAAAAATATGGAATTGGTCCTTGGCACATATGAGCTGGAAATAGGCAGTCTCCTATAGCTTGAGGTGTATTGGTAAATATTATTGCATGAGATACAGATAACGGATATAAATTCAACACAATTTATTTTTTAGCATACCCTTCTCTTGGATAAGTAAATATTTGTTGAATATGCAAATAGCATCCTTTACCAATGAAAGAATTCAAATAACATTAATATGAATACAGTGCTATTGGACAGTTAGAGTATCCATGTATTAGGACATTAATTCCCAAACAAAAAAAAAGTGTGACCACTGTTCTCATGGCTATCGTAAAAGGTTGTATCACTTCTGTTGTGGAGTGGAACAAGAGGAGCATTGATACATGTAAATTATGGCCCCATCTACACTGCTATATAATCTAGTTCAATGCAGATTGAACTGGATTATATAGCAGTATAGACTTATATAATCCAATTCAGTCTGCATTATATGAATCTACACTGACCACATAGAGCAGTTCAAACTGCATTATGTGGCAGTGTGGATGGGGCCATGGGCAGCTGTTCTCTTCTTTTTGCCAGTTTAGGGTGAAGGAAGTATTATCTGGTCTGTATAGTTATAGCCTTGATTTTCTATATGGTCTATATTCACTGTGATGTTCATGTTCTGAAGCTGATGTCTCCTGGTTCCTACAACAGAGTTTTACAGAAATATCCTAAGCACTATCTTGACTGGAAACAAACACCTTTGTGAATTGATTGTATCTAAAGTTAACCTTATGCTGAGTATAATTTCAATATATTATGTATTCAAAATGTATTTATTGAGCAAAAAGCACTATCCAGCCATTTTAAGTTGATCCCACAACAGAAATTAAACATAGGAGAGAATAGCTGTCTGAATGTTGCTAAGGAAGTAGTACATTGGATGCTCTCCAGATGTTGGATTGCAGCTCTTCACCATTAAATAATAATAATAATAATAATTAATATTAATAATATTATCCTGCTTTATCTCCCCAAAGGGGATTCAAAGCGGCCTGACATGAAAGCATTAGTATACATCATAGTTAAAATCCATCAAAACAGTTAAGAACCACAGTAAACACTGACTATATCTTAAACACCTTCATCTTTAAAAAACTGCCWCAATAACATGGTTTTAGCCTGCCACCAGAAGGACAGCAGGGAGGGGGCCATTCTGGCTTCCCTGGGCAGGGAGTWCCTGAGTTGTGGAGCAGCCACCGAAAAGACCCACTTTAGTACCCATCAATCGAGCTTGAGRTGGAGGTGAGACCTGTCAGGATTTATTGAGGTATTATATGTATTATGTGTATGAGTTTTAAATGTAATTCTTGTGTAGCAAATATGGATGCCACTGAGATGGAGGTGAGACCAAGAGAAGGGACTCTCCTGAAGATCTCAGGGCCCGGGCAGGTTCCACATAGARCTAAAGGTTTTACCCATGATGTCGCTAAAACGTCACTCTGGCCAGTTCTAAAAATGTTTTTGTTGTGTTTTTAAAGTCAAAAAAGACAAACAAGAAAAGCTTTGCAATTGTGGCATTTGAGGAATGAACCTCAAAGTAACCTTTAAAATTAGGGAAGGACAAACACATATATGGTCCAGTTGTGGAATGAGGATGATGAAGAACCCAAATGAAGTGTAAGGGGAAGGACAAACCCGTAAATGGCCTAGTGTGCCACACATACAATGTGAAACTAGGAGAAAGCTGAGGTGGCTCAGGCCCCATCTACACTGCTATGTAATCTAATCTCTGAATTCAGATTATCTGCTTTGAACTGGATTACCGTATATTCCGGCATATAAGACGACTGGGCGTATAAGACGACCCCCAACTTTTCCAGTTAAAATATAGAGTTAAGACGACTCCCATGCATAAGACTACACCTGCGTATAAGACGACCCCTGACTTTTGCAAAGATTTTCTTGGGTTAAAAAGTAGTCTTATACGCCAGAATATACTGTATATGGCATTGTAGATGGATCCAAAGTGGATGAATCTTGTCCAACTGCCCTTTACTACAAAAAGTTTTATTCCTTTTAATATTCCAGCTCAGTGTTGCTGAACATTATTTCAAGAAGATATTTTGCAGAAATAAGGATAATGTTGAGGAGTTGTTTATAAGGTAAGATCGTAGGCATCAGACTGGTACTCACTGTATATTCTTAAGGAGGGCTGGTACTATCATGCAGTATAGGAATCTATCTGCAGTATAGGAATCTATTGATGGTAGGAACTAGTGTTTGAATTGTGTGGTAGGGCATTTTAAAATGTTGGCCATTGGGAAACCCAAGGCACTATTTTGGCCACACTTCAGAAAGCGATATTGGCACTGTTCTTAAGCAAAATACATTGGGAAGTTGTAACTTTTCTCCACAGGAGACATACACTTCCTTTGTTAATGAATTCACGACAGAAGAAACAATGCAACAAAAAGAACTGTGCTGTCGTGCGCTGGGCCTATGACAATGTCTGTTTACAGGACATGCTTTCTGTATGCCCAACGGGACGCTGGGGTGCCTCAGCTAAAGGGTCCCATAGGTTTCACAACACAAAGTTCTGTAGAGGCTCAAAATAGGTTCAACAAAGTTCTTTATTAAGGCTTAAATCTTCAAACAAACGAATTAAATGCTTTATAATCTTGAAAAACTAGTAGCTTTCTCGATTTGCCAACAAGGGACAGACAACTGCTTGATAAACTGTTCCTATCTTCTTTAGGGAAACCTTCCGACCCTTCCTTGGGCAATCTTTCTTTACCCTGCTGGCGTGAGGCCCCAACTCCCGGCTCCAAGCTGTGTTATGGATAGCCTGAGTGGTCCCTTACCAGGCAATGGTTGCTGTAGATCTGCCAAGCTGGTGTCCTGTAGATTTGCCCCACGAAGGCCGTGGAACCATTCCTTTATTTTCCAGCAAAGCTGGCTGTATTCCCCCAGCAAAGCTGTGGAACTGTAACTTTACTCCCCAGCAAAGCTGTAGAGGTTTTCCTTTTCCTCCAGCAAAAGCTGTAAGAAGTGAAGCTTTTTGCAGGTGGGACAGAGAAAGCCTACACGTCCTGCTGTAAGGCTCCAAACTGTGAGACTGAACTAAAAGTCCCCTTTCCCCTCCAAAACTGGGGAAAGGGGTATATCTAAAGGCTCTAATGATGATTGATAGGTTGTTGGCCCTTTGACTGCAACCTGGGGAAA